GTTCTACACTTTCTGAACGTATTCTTGATGAAGAAGTTGCAAAGGTTGAAAAAGCAATAGATAATGAATTAGAATCCAAATCTAATCTAACATTAAGTTAATAAATTTTTTTTTTATTGTGATTTTAAGTATTATTAAAAATAAAAATTTATAATAATTTTTTTATATTTGTAATACTTGATGGATGGACTGCGCCAACGGGATCATCATTCTACAATTATATTATTACAACACCTAGCTGTAAAGAACACTTATTTCAAATTAAAAATTACTCAATGATTTCACAAACTGGTGATTTTCTTGCTGAAGAAATAAATAGTGTTCTTAATGAAATTGGAGTTGAAAAATTCGTTGCTATCATCACAGATCATGGTTCAAACATAAGACGTGCAAGAAGATTAGTAAATAATCAATTTAATTTTATTCTTGATATATGTTGCAGTGCACATGCAATTAATTTAATTGCATCAGATTTATCCAAGACTGAAGAAATTAAAGAATTAATTAAAAAGTGTGGATTAGTTGTAAATTTTTTTCACTGTTCATTAGTAGCCAATGACCATTTAAAAAAAGGATTATTGGCTATGAATATTAATGGTGGTGAACTTAAAACCTACTGTAAAACAAGATGGGATCATTATATACAACTGTTGATTCTTTAATTCGTGTACAACCTGTTTTTGATTGGGTAAGTTAATATTTAATATATTATATAATTAAATAAATAATTATTTATTTTAAATTTTTTTTTTTTATTTTATTATTATATTTTAGCTTATTAATAACCATGCAATTGCAATTTCTAACAAGACAGTACTTGATTTAATTCAATATTAGCAATTATCAAACCTGTTAAAGATATGATTAATCAACTAGAAAGCTGACATGCAACAATTGCTGATTGTTATGTTGCACTAATTAAAATTGCTGCAGCTATTAATCGTCTTCCGAATTCAAACTTGTTTAAACCCAAAGCTATAAGAATTTATAATTCCCGGTTTAGAGAATTTGCAACACCATTATATCAACTTGCATACTATTTGCATCCATTATATCGAGGTATATAATACATATATAGTTTGTATATAGTAATACTATATTTTAATTAATAAATTATACTAATATATTTTTCACATATTTAGGTGCTGGGTTAAGACATGGTTAATTTTATGTAATCTGTGAAACTGCAGCCAATATGTGGCAAGATTTAGGTTACGATGAAGCATCATGTGAAGATTTACTAATAAAACTTCGTGCTTATAAGCATAAAGAAAAACCTTATATTCAGCCATTTATAATGGAAAAAGAATCACCATTAAAGTGGTGGCTCAGTATTGATGCTCAAAAAGACCCACTAACAGAACTTGCTATCAAAATATTTTCTATTCCACCCTCACAAGCTGTATGTGAAAGAAATTTCTCAACTCTTAAATGGTTATTTGGGGATCGAAGAACAAGACTTAATATATTTCGATTAGAAGCAATAGCAAAAATTCGAACCTTCTGTTACACAAATATTAAAGAAGAATTAGCCTTTTATGGAAAAGAATTATCTGAATGTGATCTAAAAGACAGTGTAAATGGATCAACTGTTAATGCTAGTCAATTAGAATTCATTAAACAG